TACAATGCAAAAGTCGTGGCACATATCCCATTTATATAAAATCTAATCTCTCTAAAAGTAATCCGAAAATACATGCAACAATTGTCTTAAGCATATATCTATCCTGTCTGCAGTTATTAACATATGTACATTCATCGGAATCGTGCTACATCATGTGACAAAGAGATGAAAGAAAATTTGTACATAATTAATACTCACGAATGTGTTTTGTATTATCGTCGTGTACATGTATGTATGTGTATAATCATAGTCGTTTAAAAGTCCCGTGTTTGTGTGGATCGATAACGTTTTACAACAAAAGGCCTACCGCTCTTCCTACACATTCTCTCACTACTATCCACCCACGCTTTCGTCACCGGCGTCGTTTTACTGGCACAAAGGAGAGATGGACGGCGCTGGAGAAGCTAAAGGGATTGCCCGTCCGTCCGACGATGCGGAAAAACGGTACCCCAATCTCGCTATCTCGCTTCCTCGTCAAAGGGCTGTATTGTATGTACCCTCCCTACTAGTTGTTTGGTGTATGTGACGACAGCAGAAGAAACTGCAACAGCACAGCGACGACGACACTTCCCGCCAGTAAAACCATCGGACCGTGTTTATCAAAAGCCATATAAGCGATTTAATGCTTTTGACTGTAGAAAACGGTCAGCAGCGACTAAAGCATCCTACGAAATGTAAGCCGATGCTGAGTTTGTGCCGTTGGTTACCATAGTAACAATGGTTCCCGGAAAAGTCCAGCGATTATTATTATTAAAAGAAAAACTCGCTGAAACAGACGAAGAATCGAGATGTGGATGATGAACTTGCAACACATCAAAATGATATTGTTGTTGATTCGCAGTTATCGTAATGCAGTACTCTTTCCAGAGATTCTATATTGTCCATTTTCTAACATCATTCAATAAAACTGTTGTAACAAACCGTTTAATCAATCAAGTATAACATTTTAACGTCACAATTTGGTTCTCAAATGCTGTGATCCGATCGACGTTAGATAATAATTCGAGTAATATGACACATTTTAAGTGAAAATTTGTGTGATTTCTTGGTACATTTAATTGGATAATACCATAAAAAACTTGTAAAAACGCGTAATCCATCACCTATGAGTGATAATTATATACTGTATATGATACCATAAACGTAGGAAGGCACCTGTGTAATTGGTCGGAAAGTAATTGTGTAAACCTATTTGTGGTAATTTCGTAATCGTTTAATTTTTTCTTTTTATCTAGTTCAAGTACACTCAATGTTGTTGTTTATATGTATGATTTTTTTTCACCACAGTTCTGAAGAATAGAAAATCTGCATTATTTTCTTATTTTATAGATTTAATGCCACCGACAAACAATAAAGAGTAATAATATAAAGTAGGTATACATTGTTATATATGTGTATGATAAATTTGAAGAAAAAAACCGCAATATTAAAAATAACAACTAATTTACTTTTAGTACGCCAAGGTCTTTATTCGCGTATCGGTTACTGTTCTTTTCGATATGTGATACTGTGGTGTATCAATACTGATAGTTGTGCACATGAATCGGGTCCCACAAACCTACAAGAAAATACAGCCTTGATTTGGTTCTGGATTGGAACGTTGTGAAAAACAAGCTAGTATATCCATTGAACCATAAATGTCAGTTATAATCCCTTGTGAAAAACTTTAAACAATTTATTATTAATTAAATGTTTGTCTTCGGAATAAAAACCGATATGACTGCCGCCCATTCGGAAAAATTCTTAGTGTGAAGTAATTTTACGTGTGTTTTCCGCTAGATTTATGTTCTACAAAAGGTTTTTATGTAATTATTGTAAAACAAAAATAGTATTACCAAAACATAACCCTTGTTGTGGATTCATGAATGGGCGTAACTATTAAAACGGTTTTTAGAAACCACATAGGTCCTTTTGATGAGGGTGTGTTATAGTAATTCTAACAGTATTTTGTCCGTGTATATATATTTTTTGCTTAAATACATAAGAATTCTTTATTTTTTAATACGTTCGGAATTTTAAAAGAAGTATTTTTATTACCTCTAGTTAGTATATTTGCGATTATAGTAATTTCGCATCAAAAACATCATAATAGTGTACTATTATTAATACAATGATGTCGCGTGGGCTTCGACGTCGACGGTGTATTATATTTTGCTGATAAACCGTTGAACAGGTATTCCTTATCGGTATTGTGATATTTCTCTACTAGAATATTTCTACGATGTAGTCACAGTCGATATGGGACCCGTTTACATCGCAGTTTTTTACTTCGAACATTATTCAAAAATTTTACGTTATTTTTTACTGGAGTTGTATTTATTTATTTCTCGAACATTGACTTGTATTATCGTCTGATTGGCGTATCACGGTGCCTAAAACGCAAATGCTGACATCAACGGTTTTCTTAATACGTTTTGGATATTATCTTTGAGCGGTTAGATTTTTTTATTTTTTTTTTTGGCTTATACGACACCGAAATGGCATTATTTTTTAACGAATAGAATACGAACCTTTTGTTTCCGTGTACGGTAGTAGTTTTACGAAGGAGGGTCTTATTCCGTTATGGATGAAAAACCAATTTAATCATGTAACTTTATTATTACACGATATAATACGCTCAACACAAAAGAGTCGATTGAAATGATATCAATAACATATATGTGTGCGCTAGCATAGTGCGGTCGGACACACAAGGAGAGCTCATTATTTTATATCATTTTTAAATTCATAAAATCCAATGGTCCAAGGTCAATCTGGTCCAGTTTTTTGGCGCCCACGCATTAATGCATAATAGTTATTGTTATGGACGTCGATGACATAAGATTTCACTTATGTCAGACACAGACACCCTCATCGTCGTCGTCAACTTCAGACGGAACAATACAAGTAAAAGTTATAAGTATTGAATGATTATTGTTAGTTGTAAATGTGTAACATCGTACAAATCAAATACTTATTTGTTATCTAAGTAGCGTAAGATAAAACCTATATATATATTAAATAGAACTGTACATTGTTGGATAGTATCTTAGATATATATTTCCATAAACAATAGACTAGTATACTAATTTTGTAAGGTTGTGCTAATCGTGTAGTAATGTTCGCAAAATTAGGTTTCAGTATAATTTAATAACCCGGTAGGCAGATAAATTGAATAATAGTTATGATAACATCAGTGGAACGTTTGAACTGTACACGGAGGATATTTGATTATGACAGATTTTCATTTGCTAGTAGACAAGAGAAATTATATCATTAATTACGTAGTGCTTGCAATTCATCAGGCCTAAAATATTAAATGAGTAATTCATTTGATTTCATTTATTCCTGTTTCCATTCAATTATTAGGAATACGATTTTTTGGTGAGATTATTTCTAAGAAAAAATGCATTTAACAGTAAAATTCTTTGACTTATGTTATTCCTTAAAATGTATAAATTGCGGCGATAGTACCAAGTTTTTCGTGTCACGGTAGTGATTTGAAAACAACAAGAATTGATTTGATTTGTTGTAAACTGAAAATTGAAACTATAACAACTTATTGCAATACTATCATTGTGTTTATTTATCACTAATATTATTAATTTATTTTTGATATCCAGTAGTTATCTACTGTAAGCGAAGTGCCATAAATAAAATCGGATGGTGATAATATCAACGGCTTCATACACATATTTATGGTCGTCTCATATCTATATTGTCAATATAGACACTTGAGACCTACTTTTATGTATTTGATATACTAGTACTATTTAATGTAGATAAGATAATAATGGTATTAGACTATTATGAAGTTTTCATCTAATTATTAAATATATTCAAGGATTGGCTTGTAAAAATGTATCAATGAAGAAATTGATGTATACGCCAACATGTTTGAAATTTGTTGAGCTAATTTTCGCTAACAACAGGCGAAAACGAGTAAAATATTTATAATCATATATTAATCCCCTGCGAAATGATTTACAAGTCTTAAAATTAATATTGGTTTCCGGTCGTTACATCTGACATTGAATAAATTATAACAATAAATGAAATCTTTCGCCAATGTTCAAGTGTTATTTTTTCCACTGTCTTTATTATGACGTTTGGCCGCACAACGTGACCGTTGTCGTACAAATTTGTTAGCAATCGATTCCGCTTTAAACAATACCCGTTGAATATTTCATTTATGTGCTAGTGTGTATAATAATAATAATAATAATAATAATGTAATAAACGCGCGCGCCGGAACCGGTTTCCTCTGTGACGATCATACGTATATGATATTATTGGTACTTTTCTTGTGGCATAGCCTGAAAGGGTTATACTATATTCTGTTATAGCTCAAGTATTTATAGTATTTTTACCGCCGTCGCCTCAATGGCAACCGGCAGAATGCAGTTTTTGTTTCATCCGACTATTCTGGACAACACACTAAACAGCATTGAGCTAATTTTTTTTTTTTGTCTTATAACGATTTGAAAACTAAAACTTCTCTTGATAAAAAAGTTGAAATACCTTGGCTATTGTTTAAAAGATCAAGAGGAGGTATAAATACCACCATCTTGTTCGAAGTATCGTGTGAACTCATAAATTTGCCGATGCATCTTACCTACATTTTAGGTTAAACTCAAATTAATCGTGTAGTTTGTACAATTAATCGTGTTTTTACACTTAATTAGAAATAGTTATTATGATGTATTAATATTATTTATGAATTTGTCTTGTGTACAGTTTAAATATAAAAACAAGTTTTATTAGACCAAAAAATACGAAGCTTCTACTAAACTAACTAGATTTTCATCAACTAAATTTGTTCTTTCCCACATTGCGTTGTCACTGATAATTGTTTTTTGTGTGTGTGACTTTTTATGAAAATTTAACGAGCAACAAAATCATTTTCGACTTTTACTTTCACCTTAATCTCGCCAATCTAAAATATTATTTTGATTTATTTATTCATGTATTAACTCATCATTGCTGTCTAAATTTATTTATTTGTTTTTTTTTTTGCTTAGTCCGTTCATAGAGTAGTCCAGTTAAACCGCGAAGCTTTCGCCGTCAGCGGCGTAGTACGAGTACGCAAAGGGTTATATGTTCATGAACCAGCTTCTCAGATGTACCCGTTGTCGGAGGAAGATAGCATGACGTCCCCAGGTATGTCAAAAAATCAAATTAATAATTTGGGGATGATGTGTAACAGTGATTTAAATTTTATTATTTTATACGCATTAATTAGTATAGTGATAATAAATACAATTAATAAGACACGATAAGGTCACCACATTCGACTTCTCACGTCCAATGACCTCCTCCTCCTCTTTAAGCAGCTACTCATTGTTACTCGACGTATAGTATTATGACGATATGACACACACATACACAAATTCATCATTTTCGAGCGCGTGTGTTAAAAAATATATTATTTTCATCGTGTATGTGACATTCCTATTATTCTCTTTTAGATTTGATTTTTTTTTTTTCATTCGTAACTGTACCAAAGAAAATCACGATCAGACCTGTGGATCGTAGATTTTTATTTCCATCTTTATATAAACATGTAATAATACACTTTTATTCAGGTGTTACTTTTATTTCTTATATTTTTTCTGTGTAAATTGATCCAATTAATCCTTTTCCGTTGTTCACTATTTTCATAGAAAAAAATTGTTTCCCTAACTTTTACGATTCGCTTTCTTAAAGTTTTTTTTATTTTAATATTATCATTTCCATTAATAATTCTGTCAAGTGGTTCTTGTCTTTGAATAATAAATACATTTATATTTCAACCATTTCCAGCGTACGGCACCACAAGCTCGCCGGTGTGACTGTTGTGTTTATATCTCTCTCTGTATTACTACTGCTGACTAAAGTAATAAGGTGCAGGTGCACACACAAAACGCGATGAATCACTCATGGCCGCCCAAAAAAATAAAATATAAAACCGTACGTGTGTTTCTAGGAATCCATGCGTTTCAATGGGGTGCCTGCAGGTCATGAGTGTGTATATAACAATATAAAATAAACGGCAATAATACACACACACGTTTTTCCATTGATACACATCGACCACGTATTAGTTAGCGCTTACCCATCATCTTATGCATTATATAGGTAGTGTAAAAAGGTCTCCTGGAATTATTATTAATAGCCAGTTCATATTTCTAAATTCTCAAATTGGCAAGCACTACATTCAATATCCCACGGGAACTGCGAATATTGGTGGTAACTGGACCACAGAATGAAAAGTTGTTGTTCAAAATTCTACTTTTTCTACAGTGTCTGTGGTTAATGTGTGCACATTGTCAATTGCTGATAATTGTGTCGATATCCAGTAATTATGTTCTTGAATGATTCTATTATACTTATTATTCTTGAGTGTAGTGCTTGTTTCCTTCTCCGTCTGTATTTAGTCCTTTTTGGTCTTGTTTCCTTTTAGAAAATATGTGATGGTTCCGTTTTGACTCACTTGAACGGTATTACCCCAAATAATACGGAAAAATAATTTCAATATTATAAATTTTCAAAGAAAAACGTGAGTGTGTGTGTATACATTATTGAATGGGTGCAGTATAAATTTTATGACCATGTAAATAGACGGTTTTTTACCCCGACTTGTTCTTTCTCTCGCTGTGGACTGGTCCTCGTACGTGTTGTTTAATTCTCTCCCTCTCACTCTGCGTGAACGGTAATTATTATTAACATTGAACATAATATAAAGACGGCGGTGGTTCATCTGACCACAAGGGCTCGTCGTAGTCAAAGACTTGGCAACGTTGTAAGCACACGAGTTACCTGAAGAAAAAAAACACCGCCGCCGGTCTATTGTGGTGGACGACTCGGAGCACAAAACCGGTTTTCTATTCTGGACGACACCTGTTTGCCGCGTCTTCGGTATATTTCGTATTTTATACATAACATAATGTAAATAATTAAATATATATATATATATATTAATACTCTTTCTCACGATCCTCATCAGTAAAGTAACAATAGTGACCGTATCAAGTGTACCCCAATGTACCACTAACCGGTTTAATTGCTCTTTTTTTTACCACCTAAAGACATTTGAATTAACAGTTAGAATCTTAATTGTTGGCATGTAATGTCTCCTACAATGATTTTTAAGTCGCAGCATTTTAACATTAAGTCTAACAATTTCTCGATTCTTATTGGTGTATTAAACTCAAACTTGGAAAAATTTGTTAGCTCTTAAAGTGTTGTTTTTGTTTGATCCCAGAATAAAAATTATTAAATGTATCCCAGGAAAAATCTTTTGCCGTAACCAACTGATGAGTGGATAAACTGGTTTGGTCATAGTTGGTGAGGGGTGAGGTGACTTGTGGTGTTCTGTTTACCATTGTAGCGTTGCCTAATGTACCTAGTAGTCAGGTAGAGGGTCAATGATGCTTTTATCTCAAGAAAACGACATTAATGTGTGCTTTTGGCTCATTTATTTACTTTGTTCGTGAGTTTTATATCGGTTTACTTAGGCCCTTTGTGATAATATAGTGATAATAAACTGCAAAAACGATTTAACACTTGCACCATTATTTAAAGTACTAAAAATAAAATAATGAATTAATAATTATCATACCTAACAAATACCTTTTTAATGATAACTATTTATCCATCACGGATGTTTGTCTATGTTGTGCATATTCAATAATATCACAGGCTCGTATGAGCGGTGTACCTTCAGAACATTATTTTACTGCATTGAAGTTTATTTTGGTGGTGATAAAGTATTGCTAAATAACATTATTTATTTACGACCTATAACTAGGTTTATTACTTTTCTTTATCAACACGTTTATGAGTCATCTCTTATAACAGATCTTTATACGGAGTAAACAACACCGTGTGTAGTTTCGGCCAGTTCTCTGTTGGGCGTAACTTTAAGGAACAACACGCATTATATAAATTACACTTAAATCCTAAAAACAAGCTCTTCTCCGTGTTATGTTTATATTATGTATGGTTAAAAGGATTTTTGATGATCGGCTTGAACGTTTACGACAATTATATGTAAATTCGACGGAAAATTACTACTTAGTTTCCGTACAATTTCATATATATATATATATACTTGTTGAGCATCGCATGGCCTAACTAGGTCGCAAATATAATTATTTCCGCGGCTCGAGACAATATGTCATTAGTCTTCCGTTTCGATTACCACCGGATCGTAATCTCGGTTCAAGCGTTGTTGGATTTCTTTAAAATTGCTGCTAAACTGCTAATACTCAATAATCTGTTTTATCAAGATCTAATGGTTTGTTTAAATTCACTTCCAATACGCATAACACCGTTTACTGTTATTTATCGTACAGTGAAAATGTAAAGTGTTACCAATGTGCTCGATGGTGTTGCATAAACACATGCACGCCAAAAAAAGGAAGTTACTCCTCTCACAATATTGTACGCGGTTGACGCGTTTAAAATTTACAAGACGAAATGAGTAATAACGGCTGCGGCGATTTAAAAATATTCATGTTTCAAGGGCATTGGTAACGCTACGGTCTTTACATGGGATGCACTTAAGTGGGATCAATGGGCGAACGTCGGACTATTTTATAATATTATTGTTGTAACTAATTGTACATTTGTCTTAACGGCTAGGAGCAATATTCGCTGGTGTTAAGTCGTTTGGTGCCAAAAGTGATTTCACCGAAAGGACCTTTTCTCTAAAACTCACAGCCTATACCCATTTATACGCTCTTGTTTCTTGGCCGTCCAGATTTTTAGCTCTGCCATCGTCGCCAGTGGAGTTAATTATACACGATTTGGCATACGTTCCACATTAGATTATTTCTTCTGCAGTGGCAAGTGTATGTTTGGCTCGGATTCTGCTCTGTGGCCATGTAGACTTTTCATCCTCAAAACCGCAGCTATTTCCATTCGTCGGTCAACCCATATTCATTCAAATCGTCATTTGTTTTTTACGTGCGCCTCTTTGATGGGATCGTAAGAATATGAATATTTTTAGACAATTTCGACGATTACTTGATATTTTTGACGTAGCGATGTCCCGTGTTTAATGTTCCCAATGCAAATGATTAGCATTAAGTAGTTAAATGTTTAATACATTACACAAAAAACTGGTTAATTGCATTATATTGTCTGAGGTTTATGACTTCGTAAGTTCACTGTCTGTCATTTTCCAAAAACTAACAGTTATCAGATTAAAAATAGCCATCGATCATTATGCATTATTTTGTTGCTTTATAAACATGTAATGATTATTGAAAATTGGTTGGGATTTTCGCAATGTTAACGTGCGTCATTGTTTTTTTCGCGGTTAATTTTTTTACCAAAATATCATTAAATTTAATCAAGTTTCATTTACCATTTTGCGGTTAATAAATATTAATTAAAAACACCTGAAGTTGAAAAAAAATTCTAATGTTTATTAATTATCGTGACTCGATTGAATATTTGCATACATGGAACTAAATTTTCACTTATTCGATGATAATTATTCACTATAATTTTCGACCATTCGTTAAAATGTTATAGTTGACCATTTGTAGGACACATTAAAACACACGTTTTTGTTGACTATTCTTAAGATAATATAATTCTTGGTTTTCAGAAGTAATTTAAGTGTTTTGTCATGTTTATATATACCAGTTCATAATACTTCTGAACTTCTCTATCATCAACAATAAAATGTTTTTGTTATGAAAAAAATAAAGGTGTGTACATTGTGAGGGTTCCGTGTCAACTTCCCTTAAGGTTCCAGTCTGGGTGTGGAGTGCTGTGCGTAGGCGTTATCTCCGAAAGTCTGTCTGTACACCAACAATGACGAAAAAAATCATAATAATAACAATAATAAAACTGAGGCCTACCAAAAAATAGTACTAAATCGGTAGCGACTCGGTGTAATTAATCTTCATCTTAACCACCGCTAAGTTTTCTGACTCGTAAAATTGGGCTAACGTCCAAGTTTATTGGATAGCGGACACACTATACTTATTTTTAGTTATCACCCCACCATGTGGATGTCTCATGTGGAGCCGATCTCTTCTCCAATTGTATTATTTCCCCGTCTATTTTTTTTACTGTAAGACTACTCCATCAGTAAAATTCTAATTAGCCACTTTTGTCTTTATAAATTTGAACCATTTAGTTTTTTATTCAATGTCGAGGTCGACCTTCTAAAATAATTCACACATTTTATACATACGAAAATATTGAACGAGATCTGTTCGAGTATACTTTGATAGATATCTTCGTTTTTTTCCTTTTAATTTAATGTAGCTGCAGACACAGCATATTTGTTTATTGAGAACACAGATGGCCCGATGAGATGATCCTGCATTTTTATTCTATATTTGTTTGCATATTAAAATAAACGTCTACAGTTTTCGTTTTAAGGAGCCGATGAATATAATTTTTCAAAATCCTCTTATACACATGTTTAATTATGGTGGATATGAATATCATCCGCCCGTGACAAAATTATGTAGCGAAAATTAATTTTTTTTTTTTTTTCATTTAGAGAGGGAAGTGAAAACTTTTTTTTTTTTGTTTATCTCCCCCCTCTTGCAAGACGAAATTCTAATTACGCCATTGCTCTTATTAGACCATTTCGAACAAATACAATAACCATTTCGACTTTCCTTTAAATGAAACAACAAATTTGTAACATAGTTCTGTAATAGTCGTTGTTAATGGAATTTAAATCCTTTAAAATTTATTCCAGTATTCAATTTTGTTTTCGGTATTATTTTCAACAAAAATGTGTTATGTTTTATGAATAATTATAATTTTGATCAATTTAAATAATGAATAGTTAATTTTCCGGAAATTTCCACAGGATTAAATTTAATTGAAATGTTCCAGTAAATAAGTTTGAAATTTTTATAAATTTCTTTTGATATTCTAAGAACTGGTCCAACTGTTAAATTAATTTTATTACAATAGTATAATATTTATGTTTTAAACGGAATGTAACGTAGCGCACTTAATTTATTATTTGTATTTTCATCAGTTTTGTTGACTATGCACTCTAACACCTCACCGTAGGCTGATAGCGATTGTATGCAAAATAAATACATTTCATTGTGAATTACATTTAAAGACCAACATACAACACGTTCATCAACTCTTTATTACATTTCAGCAATTTTTTATTAAACGATAGACAAAAATAAACGTGTACAAGTTAATACACACGTGCACTTGGCATTTTTAAAGGCAGTTTTTTTTAATAATAATCATGATTGTTTTCTTTTCAATAACACCATTGAACTCATCTTTTGATAATTCCCATAGATTAGTTAGTCATATACATTATACGCGAGTGATGGTTTTCACTAAATCAAAAAAAAAAAAAAAAAATGAACTAATTAACAAGAGTTTTTGCGGTGCCCTCAACAAACAATAACCCTTATTGTAAATTATGGATTATACCCTTTTGTATAGTTACCGACCGTTTTGTGTGTAGCACAATATAAACTATCACCGGTGCTATCATCGCGGCAGTAATAGTCTCACGCTTGTGTGCACGTCTGTCATTAAACCCTTTTGAAAACCCACCAAATTCCACAAAACATGAATACGTTATGTACCTATAAATTTTGTCTGGTGGACATCAACTCGCATACGCATTGCGCACACAATTGATACAATGCAACAATGTTGTTTTGCCGTCCCTCGCATTTTGCCTGTCGAACCTATCGATACAGTTTGACCGGTACTCGTTATTTTCGGCGGACATTGTTTTTAATCATATCATAATTTCTGTGCATCACAAAATCTTTATTAACGTACCAAAAGCACTCATAGTCGTATTGTCTTCGCGTGTGCGTATCGTATTCTGTGTGTATAATAATGTTGAGGGTATTACGTAGCCGCTCCTAGAATTTCGGTAACAATAAGAGCGACTCTTGATGATATTGTTGCACTCCTCTTGTAATGTGTTCTCCTAGGAAGACCTTGAAATCACAATCTATATAATGTGTTATATTAGGCGCAGGTGAAAGCAATTCACCGTTACTGACGACCTTGTGTAGTCTACTTGCGAAACTATCCCTGTCTGGAAGTAATGGGTAACATAATGATATTGAATAATTGCGCGCGTGTAACCAAAAATTAATCGTTTTTCGTCGTTTGCTAATCAACTTTGGTCTCAAAAAATACAAACTCATTCTGACCACCATACTTGGTCTGTTAAAACTATTTTAATAATTCATAACTCAGTTGAACGTACCTTTTCAATGTTGTTTTAAACTGAATATATTGAAATATCCTATTCCCAAATAATTTTAAATAATATGTTGACAAATTTCGAGTCGGACGCCGCCTAAAAATAATAACAATACACACATAGCATATAACTTCACAATTTTTAAAATGGTTATAATTTTTTTTTCTTTTATTATTTTGACAAAAACGTTTATTACTTTGCATTTTTATGTTTTTATTTTATGACGCACGTTTACATTTAAATTGGTTTTGTGGAATCGTCTTTTTTTAATTAGGAATTTGTAATTATCAGAGTATGGTACATACAAATTTAATCTTAATTCCTCTCTATTCCTTAAAATTAATACCCAATATTTACTTCTATAATTCTAAGTGGACATTTTTAAATTATGTATTCAGATGTCCTACGTCGATCTAACAAATTCACACAATATCGTGGGACACTATAAAAAAATAGTTTAAATACTTTCAGTGAATATTGAAGGACTAGTGATTTTATCCGTACAATTGTTCTTTTATATATAATACGAAGAGTATTAATTCTCCAATGACTATAGATAATAGATAATCTTCATCTAACAATTTAAATACAATTAAAAATATATTTCATTACTTTTTTAATAATTTGTATTTGCTGGCTACAACAGCAATGGTCATAGAAAAAAAAAAAATGCTCATATAAGTTTTATTTTTTAAAATTAAAAATTATTTACAATCATTTGACACTATTGTGTTTTGTTTACTTAGTTTTTACGCGTATTATTTAATGAAATTAATTTTCGTACATCAAGACAAAGGATAGAGAGAAGTACATTAATTATTTGTATTACAGTACTTGTTTAGGTATTATTGAAAGCCATTTGAACACGCATCATTATGAATAATCACAATGTTTTTAATCGTATTTTATCGCTTTTTCGAATTTCCTTTAAATATTTAAGTAAAAACTTTTATTGTAAAAGTACTAAAAATTAATACACTGTTTTTCCTCGTGTCTTTACTACAAATAAAATTTTTTGTTTTGACATATTATTTTGAAATTATTCTAGCCGTGCTGTAATAATTTAAGAATTTATAAATGTCTATAAATTATAAATAATTGCTAGAGATATGAAGCAATAAAAATATTAATAGAAATTCTACAGTATTATTTAATAAACTCGTGTGATGATTAGTGTAAAATAAATTATCTTGTCATCCTAACTATAAACCCATTGAGAATTTTTTTCTTCAACTCGTATAATATAAAGACAAATTAAATAATGATGTAGAATTTGTTCTTTCATATTGATTGTTTTATTTTTATTGTTTTATAACGGGTTATAATATTAATAGTACGTATTTACATGTTATTAATTTATGCAGGTACTTGATTAGTAGTATACATTAATGCATAGTACAACAATTTACCAGTCAGTGTTTTTTTCAAAAAACTAAAATTGCATTTCTATTATATTGCATTTCTAATTGTGAAGATAAAATATTTTAGTTATTGTTTTGCTTAAACATTTAACATTCATTAAGAACGCGTCGATTCTATAACTTAAATATACATTGATGAGTTTATAGTTGTGGGATATCAAATTAAAATTAATAAATTACACGAAATTATACACCTAAGCTTCACAGTTGGGATCAAACTAACAATTTACCGGAGTAGATAATTTTTCTATCAGTCAATACAGAAATGAATAAAACACGACGCTTGTACAATTTGTTGGTGAGCAACAAAATTGTTAAATGGGATAATGCAATTACTATGCAAGGTTTATAATTTTAGCACAACATGTATTAATCGATTTAATAGTCACTGTGTATCTGTCGATATATTTGATTACACTAAACATTGTATTAAAAATGATTTACATTTTTCAGGTTTTGCGGTGGTGTCTAGTTGCAGTACGGTGTCATCGCCTTGGACGCCGGGCGGAGGTACGGCGGGCGGCAACCCGGACGCTCCGGACGGCGGCGGTAACGGTATGCGAAGTGCGGCTGGCGTAAATGCCGGCAGCAATCTCAGTCTAGATGTGGACGATTGCGACGACGACAAAGAACTGTCGGCGGCCGATGCGGAGGGAGTGTGGAGTCCGGATATAGAACAGAGCTTTCAAGAAGCTTTAGCTATATACCCACCTTGCGGACGCCGGAAAATCATACTTTCCGACGAAGGAAAAATGTATGGTGAGTACACCGCTATTGTCCAAAATTTCAGCTGACCAATAATACTTGTTCTCTCCGTAACTGGCGTGTACTTGGAGTAAAATTGCACAGTGTAAAAACGTGTCAAAGTTCTTTTAGGTTCATCTGCGTTTTATGTCACAAGAGTGACGTAATAAGACGCTCATTAACATTTTGGATGTACTGAGTGACGTCGTTAAATTAATATATTTTCAAGAATTTTGTTTTTATGGGATAATGCAATAAACTAATACATAATGCATCGATATTCAGGCTTAAATTTCCTTGCCTCCTACACCCAGAGAAAAACCTCGATCTATATAATAAATTCATTGTTCAATTTGATAAATATATCATTACTATTGAACCTATGATATATTTATCAATATGATATTTTTTTTTCTTGTCTTGAACAATAATTATTCATAAGAATAATTATTTTGTTCGTATCAATAAAACATTATCATAAACCCTTGATAAAATTTCTCTATCAAAATTGATTGAGGTTTTTCTTTGGGTGTATACGTTGATGTCGTTTGAGTTTTACACGAAGAAATAGTGTTTTCATTCGTTTGTTTTATAACGCAATAAAAATATAAACACTGTATTTATATTATTATTATTGCAGTGGAAACAAGTAACTTCTGTGCAGCAGGCGTGCGTTTCATTGTTTTAATAGTATCTAAATGCAAACCTAATGTGTAACGCGTACGGCGTGTAATCGTTTTAAAAGTATCTTCTCTCCGGCACCCAAGAGATTACTGTATAAAAACATTTCTAATCGTTTTACTTTAAACGTACACCTGTTATTAATTTATCCCTTTGTGTAAACGCCAACTTTCGGACCCTCCGCAGTAAATTTATTGCTCTTTCTTTGACACTGGCGTAATTACACGTATATTATACGATTTTTCTCTGCCTTCGTGTTGACTTCCAACGCTTTTGTAACTGGATAGTTCACCGCCATCATAGTACTGGTACCACCCCGTTCATTGTCTTACGGATTATGTTCAGCAATTAAAACTTGTTCCAACATTAAATTGCTATAAATTCATAATTTATAGCAATTTTTTGTTTTAAATCTCTGCGACACTTGAATATTTCGTAGCTAGTTTTCCCTTACCGTATCACTCTATTGTCACCATCCATTAAAGCGGTGTCGCTAATCGTTTTCCAAATTTAATACTGTACGAGGGTGTTGGGCAATAATAGTGATTCATAATATTAACGGATCTAATAAAATAAAATAAAAAAATACTTGAAGGGATCGCTAGAGCAGATGTTTATGAAAAAGGGTCACGCGGAGGGCAGTCAAAAGTTTAACTTGTGTATTCACCGAAGAGTGAAATTACCGACACTGCCGATGGTGTATCCCCATAGGGGTAACGATTGCTATTCGTCTCTTACATATATTATTTTAATATTGAACGCAGCCTAATCCATACTTGAGCTTTAAATAAAATTATAGATCATTGACAATCAAAATACAAATGGAAATATCAAATACATTGGAATACAAAATAAAAATATCTTATTACATATAAAACATTGAAATTATTTTAAAAAGTCTAAGCCGACATATTTACATTTTTGAAATACTTTTGAAACTCTTAAAAGTCTCGTACTATACTCAATGAATAATTTGTAAACACATTAAAGAATGATGAATATTTGAGATTAGTTGATACTATATATATTTTTATTGAATAATTGCTCGAATTGATCAACGATAACGACCAAGCCTTCGTCGCTGTCGACAGTACAATGACCAGAACATAAAGAATCAAACCCAATGCGTATTTATGCTTTATGATATTCTATAGGCAATCACTTAATTTATTTTATAATTTTTCTGCTCGCGTTGTCGCATATTTGCGTCCTACTCGTTGAACATGGTACGGAGGGTAACTAAAGGGGTGGGTATATGGAATGTGATTTATTTTTTATACTGAAATTAAATTTAATAAACATATCGTGATAAATTAAATTTTGCGTTGATTCGCTTGAAGTACTTTAAAGAGTGTCGGGTAAACCTTGTTTAGATGAAGGATGATGAGAGGAAGAGGTCGGTCGGTTTCATTTGAGCGTTTCGTCGATTTGTGTGCGGGTAAATGACCGTGTTCCAATGAAATGCGGCTGAAGAGTAGAAGCTGCTGTTGAATACGGCAACGGGAGAGGGTAGGTAATACGGGTCAAAGGGGTTGTTTTGTGCCGGAGAACGATGGCGATGAGGCTTGCAGTTCGGGGTAGGATGTGTATTCGCAGCGAGAGAAGGATGTTTAATGCTGATGCTGTAGGAATTGATGGCTGGATGAAGAAAGGGCGAGGGTACACAGCACTATGTATGTATATATCGTAGTGAAAGGGAAAAGGACGTATCCATATAAAGTGCAGACGCAAAGGGGCGGGTGGAGCGTTAGACAGGAGAAGACGATGGACGTGAACTATGCCAAGAATGTGCAATTAGTGTATATACACACGATCGTTGGGGTGCCGCTATAATTCACCCTTGACTTCGGCGAACGTCCCGCTCAAAGTGTAATAAGGAAGGAAAGAAAGACATAAGAGGCCATCTCGGTCGAGACCGCCGCCACCTTTACCTTCTCCATCTCATCGTCAGTCGTGCTCGCTTATAGAATTTTCGTCTCCTCCACGGAACCATTAACACGTAATCTCGCATCCGCCTCTTTTTCCCCATTTACACACGCACTCACTTTTATTATATAAATATATATAACAGAGCAGTTGTCTACTGGCTTTTACAATGCTATCATCACCGCTATAGTGTCGTCAACAAATAAAACCGAGGCCCAAGTTTTATAGAATTTGTCGTTGGACCTGATTGCTTCATTTTAAATTCCCTTCTATATCATTTCGAAGTTTCTGAATATATCATATTCGCCTATTCATAGTACTTAATTATTGATTTTAAACGACGTACTATAGTATTTTGTTAAAGTCGATTTGTGATTGATAAACATTCTTTGTTTTTTATCTTAATATGTTCACTCGTTTCGGGTTAATGTCACGATGGGTAAACCTTATAACCCATCGGTTAGTACTGAACAAATTCGTTGCATTTCAAGTTAAATGATATTTTGAATGATAGGTTTCAATCAATACATGTTAAATACTTAACTGCGCAACAGTTAAAAAATTATTACCGAGACTTGTAACCAGTGTGTTGGCGGTACACAATATGTTATATGAACGTAATAAATTTACTATAGTAATCTCATAAGACTCATTTTTCATTTGAACTTTTTTTAACATTTTCATCCCTTACTCGTTCCAAATATTTTGCAATATAAATGCTCGAGATGTTTTTTGTATATTTTATTAAAGCGCCACTTTAATAAACAATAATGTTTTTTTCCTTGTGGGAGAACAAAACCCAGTCGTACCGCAAAAGCTGTATTGTATTATTTGTTTTCTTCTCCTAAATGAAATACGAAAGTATCGTCCAATGAAGTTTACAAAGAAATTAACCAAACAAAATACATAAAAGTTTAATTAAAACCATTTCCGCGAAAAAAAGTATGATTTTTGAAATGTGCAGTACTAAAAACATATTTTTTAAGAATTTTATACATTATTGTTACTTACTTCGAAATTATTTTTATCACAAATGAACATTTTTCAAATAATTCATTTAATTTAAAGGTTCACTACAACAGTATTTTTGCGCTACAAGAGAAAAGTATACTAAGTGTAAGCTTTTAGATACTAATGATGCAAATTACGGTGTTGCTTACTTTACGATAAATCAATGGCGATACCACAGCAAATTTCATTTAAACCTATTTAGTATTATTATAGTTTCTATTTTCTGATCGCAATGAAAAATTTAATACCCTATAAAAATGTGTTATATTTTAATGAAACTGAATAAATCTTAATAGTTACTAGTTACAGTTTCCATTTCCATGACTCAGAAGACCAAATTACCTGTTTATAAATTGTACACTTAAAAAAAAGTGGCAAGTAGAAACTAGTTCTCTGGCAATTTAAAAATCATTATAGTTTACTTATTAACACTAGTCCGGATAAGTCTCTCAACGATGAAAACACAACCTAGTCAAATTAATTCGAATTTTATGTTAAAAAAAAGATCTCCGTTATCTGTTTTGTTGGAGTTCGATTGTAGTACACAGTTTTCTCCAGACAAAAAATAACAGAGTTATCATGGTCAATAATTGATAACCTTCGGTGACATTATTATAACTAAATTTAGGTCACTTGCCAACAAGCATAAAATTAATAAATAAATATTGTAATCGTTACTTTATTTTTTATTGATTACATAGTTCGTTTTCTCGTTGTGCGATAGTATCTTATTGATTCAAGTTGCCCTCTACAATGAGATTTTCGAGCGCCATTTGTTAATTAGTTACTCGGCGGATAGTTGTTATTCAATTTACTGAAAATTGCATCCTTAATATTTATTTGAAGTTAACATTTACCGGTAAAATTTGTTTCCGTCATTTGAGAGCTACCGAACCATTCAATTGATTAGTTTTTCGATCAATCATTCATTGCAAGTTAAACCAACTATTATTCAATTATCAGTTTTCATCATTATGCTTCATAATCTTAAAAAAGTTTAAAAGTACTAAAATTACAAATGTTCCTCTAAAGGAATTGAAATTCGATACAAATTAAATGTTTTTAATTTCAAAGAGGATAATTATAAGTGAATATAAACACAATACATATGAGCAGTGGTGCCGGACCGGTGGGTGGGAGGCAGTTGTTGTCCCCTTGGTCAAAATACGAGGGGGGAAAATTATCATTATGCCCCTCCCCAATAGAATCTGACAAAAAAAAATACAATGAATCGTAAATTAATATAACACTACCATACTTAATTATTTAGCTATTCAGATTTTAGGATTAAAAAGTGTTAATGAATTTACCTAACTCAAGTTGAATATCAAAAAAACGGTAGCACAGTGAAATCGTGGGACAGTATGGATATTTGACAGTGATTAAAATCACTATCATAAGAAACGCTTCGATGAAAATCTGTTGATAGTGTTTAATTTTAAGAAATTGGTGGATTATTCCTAAAACAAAATTAACTCTTATTTTTTGTTCTACTTCGACTGCAATTTGTATATACAAAATAGGTCATTAGTACAATTTTTTTTTTTTTTAATTTCTACACCTAGAGAAAAACCTCGATCTATATAATAAATTCATTGTTCAATTTGATAAATATATCATTACTATTGAATCAATGATATATTTATCAATATGATATTTTTTTTTCTTGTCTTGAACAATAATTATTTATAAGAATAGTTATTTTATTCGTATTAATAAAACATTATCATAAACCCTTGATAAAATTTCTCTTTCAATTTTGATTGAGGTTTTTCTTTGGGTGTAGTACATAGAATTAGCTTTATTTAATTATATATTTAAAAGACGCAAATTTTCAAAAGTTAAGTTGAAAAAGTTATACTTTTTATACAATTTTTCAAGTTTTCAAAAAAAATTTTCTTAACTTTGAAGAGGCCAAAATATCAAAATAAGTATAAATTTATATTTAATGTAAGTTTGATTCATGTAAATTTTATATTTATTAATGAACTCATTACTATGGCAAACCCTTATAAGGTATTTTAAAATGAACAAAATAAATAAATAAATAAATTTGAACATAAAAATAGCATATTTTTTAATCTAAAGTTCATTACATAAGCTTAAATTTTAAATGCAGTGTTTCCGGAACATTTTTAAAACTTAAGTTGAAAAAGTTGAGTTTTGTAAAAAAGTTGCTATTTTGAATCATCCCCTATGGGCAGGTAAAGGATCAGATTTTCAAAAATATTATATCATATAAAAGAAAAACGCATAAGGTTTCAATATAAAAAAAATATTTTGGTTCGTTTATTATTCAATAAGTTATGGAAGTTTTAAGCTCCAAAATAACATTGATTTTTTATACGAATTATGACAATGTTTAGAAAAAAAGAGTAAAAAATGTCGAAATTTACTGATTTTAAAAATTGTAATTTTTAGGGGACTTTCACCATTTACGGGGAACGAGGGACAATTTTTCAATTTTTTAGGGTAATGTCTTCAACTAGATACGATTTGTGATCTTTTGACGTAAATAAATGCACACATCAGGGTAAAATTAATTAAAATTATTAAGAGTAAAGTTTATAAATTACCGAATTTTTTTATATGACCACTAAAATCCACCAAAAAATAGCTTAACCCGCTTTTAGCTTAGTAACAATCAAAGGGACATAGTGTTAATCATTAAATTTTTGCCTCCCCCGTGTAAAAAACAGTTCCAGCGCCCCTGCATATGAGCATTCGCATCACATTGGAGAAGGAACCATGCGGAGCGTTCACCTTTGACAATAACGGTGGTGGTCGTGTGTCGTCGTTGTCAATGTCATAACTACTGTGATGATTATGATGGTGATGACGTGTACCACCACCTAGTCCTAGTTTTGAAAAGTCTAGTAGTCATAATAATAATAGAAAATAACGACGCGCACCGTAGTATTGTACTATTGAAAACTTGCTCAGTACACGACCATGGCGGTTATGAACTAATGCGTAAAATGGATGAAAAAAAAAAATTATACATCTATATGTATACACAATGCACACGCGATGACACGGTATTGTGTCAACCTGTAAACCGCCGTGACCACATCTATAAAGTGGCGTGTATCCCACGCAACACCAATGGACGCACGCCGATCGCTGTGTGGATAGTTTATTTTTTATATGCACCGAGTTTAATCGGCCGCACGAAGTCCGTCAGTACATATTGTAATATATTATTACTCTGCTCTCATAGTTATAATTAAAGGCTATTGTGGCAAACTAGTAGTACAGTTTTACTTTCGGTTTGACCCGTTTTTCGTTAAAACACATCTTTCTCCCACGCTGACATCACCTTCGTCATCGCAAATCGTGATTCGCGTTATATGCGGTTGTCACTAAATTTGGCTCACCGTTCATTAAAAAATAAATAAATGCGTACGAGTTTAAAATTAAACGACACAATTACTCACTTTTCTCGGCGAAAATTATTGTCGTACAATTTTATGGCTATCGCGTTAATAATCCGTTTATTACCAACTATGAAAAATCGTTGGATATTTAATTTGAGTGTCTCCTTAAATATGCTGAATACATTACAACTCATGAGATTTATCCCATGCTACTTTTGTTGAGTAATTTGTCTCGCTCGTTGTTGACCAATTGTCACCATTATTATTTATTGTTATTTGTTTAAACAACGTGAATTATTTAACCAAAATAAAGATTGATAACTGTATTCCTCGTGACCTACGAGTGCGTGTGTGAGTGTTTATACAAATGTTTCACTGCTACTTAGCGTCGCACCTTATGTGTTGTTTTGTCACGTTCTAGTTTTGTAATATTCTTACTCACTATAGATAAATTACAAACTAAGTTATTTTGTACTGTCAAAACAAAATCATCACATTTTTTTTTTTTCTCAAATTGACACCCCAACCAACAGTTACCCCCATTTTTATAAATTTTAAATTGTTCTATTTTATATGCCTGTAGAGATTTATTAGCGAATACAATAATCATAATAGAATTTTAAAAAAATCATATGTTTAATAGAAATAAAAACCCATATACCCTTTTTAAACTATATGAATTATTAATTCACATACCGTGTGAATAATTACATTAGATAAGATGAAGTACTTAGAAGTATTCATAAACAATGTATTAAAGAAATATAAATAGTACTTAAAGACAATGTTTAATGCTTCAGGTCGAAATGAACTTATTGCAAGGTACATAAAATTGCGAACGGGAAAGACAAGGACGCGAAAACAAGTTAGTTCTCACATTCAAGTTTTGGCTCGACGAAAACTTCGCGAGATACAAGCCAAACTCAAAGTGGTGAGTTTTTTTATTATTTTTAAACTTCTTAAAAATTTTCTTACACATTATAACGGTACATGTTTTGTATCCTTCTAAATCCAACGAGTATAATTTTGGTTTTAGTTATTATGTGTGTATGTTATACTTTATAAGTGTGTTAGAGGTAGAGTGTAACGTGTGTTGTGGGGCTATAGGTGGTGCCTACAGAGCACGCGGCCAAGGAAAAGGCTTTGCAGACTATGTCAGCCATGTCCAGTGCTCAGATCGTATCAGCGTCAGCAACAGTCGCAGCCATACACACCAAGGGACTGGCCAGCTTAACTTCATACCCGCCCGGTGCACCGCCCCCGCCGGTGAGTAGTAATATACTACACAACGCTCCCAACGCACGCTACCTCTTAATAATTAAAAAAATTAAACTTAATAGCCTTTGACGTCGACGCTTAGCTTTTGAATTTTTGCTTAAAAACGCTAGAGCTTTTATTTATACCTTCACATCTATATTAATCTTGTTTTCTGCCTTTGTTTTAGTTTTGGCAACCTGGACTGCAGCCAGGCACTTCACAAGAGTAAGTATAACATACTAATTTTATTTTACCACCATTGCTTAGTGAGCTTCTTAAGACTAATTTTTAAATTATATTCATAGTGTCAAGCCATTCGCTCAAGGATATCCTGCTGGAAGTGGATCAACAGGACTCAAACCTCCACCATCCACAACTGTGTCATCTGAAATTCAACCACCAAGTGTACCACCTTGGGATGGACGAGCCATAGCCACACACAAATTGCGATTGGTAGAGTTTTCTGCATTCATGGAACATCAACGTGAACCTGAAATTGTAAGTGGTTCTTTATTAAATTTATAACTATTAAAAATATATAAACTCTACAGAACTTTTGAATTTTTTTTAAATTAATTAAACTATCTAACTAAAAACTGTTTATATGTAGTATCAAAAACATCTATTTGTTCATATTGGAGGACCTGTCGGCTACTCAGACCCATTACTAGAGGTAAGTTAACATCTTGATTTTTAAGCCTCTAATTTAATTAAAATTTGTTGTTATATTTTTTAGTCAGTAGATGTAAGACAAATCTATGACAAGTTTCCTGAAAAGAAGGGTGGCCTTAAAGAATTATATGATAAAGGTCCACAAAATGCATTTTTCCTTGTCAAATTTTGGGCTGATCTCAATTCAAATATTCATGACGAAGCTGGTGCTTTTTATGGAGTCACTAGCCAGTAAGTAAATTTATAATTAAATAATTATAATTAGATACTTACAAATATAATTATTCAATAGATATGAGAGCACTGAGAACATGACCATAACGTGTTCCACCAAAGTGTGCTCTTTTGGAAAACAAGTAGTTGAAAAGGTAGAAACAGAATATGCAAGATTTGAAAATGGACGTTTTATCTATCGTATACATAGGTCACCAATGTGCGAGTACATGATTAATTTTATACACAAACTTAAACATTTACCTGAAAAATACATGATGAATTCAGTGCTGGAAAACTTTACTATACTACAAGTAATATTTTAAAATTAAAATTTATTATTTTTTATAAATCATAAATTAAAATGTTTTTTAAATAGGTGGTTACCAATCGAGAAACTCAAGAGACTTTACTTTGCATTGCATACGTCTTTGAAGTATCTACATCTGAACATGGTGCACAACATCATATGTACAGACTTGTTAAAGACTAAGTACAAATAATCTGCAGTTGTATCACTTGATGTCGATTGGGTTTCAGTCGATCCTTCTTTTGAGTCATACTAATTGTGTTGCTAATAAATAACTAGTTGTTTTTTTTATTTTTAATGCCAAACAAATTATATTCTTACATAGGTAATGTTTACCTAAAAGTAATATTAATTATTTTATTGTAAAAAAGTTATATATTCAACATTATTATTGATAAGTTATTGTGAATTATTTTAAATTGATTTTATCATTTGATTTTTACCAATTTTTTTTTTTTTTTAATTAGCTTTTTTTTACTTTCAATTAATTTTAAATTGAAAAATATTATTATTACTATTATTTGAATATAATATTATATGAGCATTTATACTATTAACCGTGAAACGACCCAAGAAATTTAAATAAAATTGACACTAAAAAAAATATTAAGTATTCAAAACATAAATTTGTACTTAATAAATAGGTCGACTGAATCCTGTTGCAATTTATAATGTATAGAAAAGAATTAATATGTATTTATGTAGAATAATTNAATTTTTTTAGTTTATTTTTCTGTAAAATTATATTATACATAGAAATGATTTCATTTGATCTCTGAAATTATTCTCAAACAATCTGTTTGAAATTGATTAAATAAAAATAAAAATAATGATAATTATTTAAATATTAATCGTTTTATTTTATTGAAAATTTTATTTAGAAAAACATATTAAGTTATATTTGTATTTTATATATTTTCTTTTTGTACGGATACTAATAACAATATTGATATTTAATAAAAAAACAATTGACATAGATCAATTAAAGTAAAATTTCAATTACAATAAATTAAAATGAATTGTTACCAATACAAATTTTGCTTTAATAATTTTACTTTTTATTATTTATATTAATATAATCCAGTGAAAATAGAATCCAAACTTAAATTTTCTACTTAAAATAAATGTATGATAATATTTTTACCCATAATTTTAATGGTGTTTTAATTCATTTTACTGCGTTAAACTTATTAGAATTTGAAGTTGCTCTTGGTAACCATTGACAGCTTTTATCAGTATTCATGATTCACTTAAGCATATTATTTTTTGTTAATGTGCAATGTTATAAATGTTTTAATAATATTATTTTGTATATTTTATATTTTATTTATATATTTAAAATTTTAAGTTGAACCTATTTTTCTTCAAATTATAATTTTTTTTGCCTTAAATAATTTAAAATAATTTTTTTGTGTTCATTAGTCAAAATGTGTGTTGTGTACAAATGCTTATTTAATTGCTTTTGTACACTTCTTTGAAATGAATAAAAAATTATTTATTTTTTGATATTTCTTAATTTTTTTTTTTATACCTTAATTTGCATAAAGCTCAACTGAAATGAATATTTTATTAAATGTTTTTTGTTTTGAGCAACATTTTCTTATCCAGTTATTTTTTTATACTAATGTCCTCAACTAGACATTGTTTGTTTTTTTTTTTTTTTTTTTTTTTTTTTTTTTTT